TCAAGAGCAGTGATTACATCAAGGTTAGGGTTAAAATATACTAGTTGTCTAATTGATGACATCATTTTCCTGATGTTCTTAAAGCTCATTTGACATCGGCTGCTTGCCTCTTTATATTAATCCTGTGCCTTGACTTTCTCCACTCTCGTTCGGCTGTTTTAACCGCCGTTTTCAACGGTGGGGCTATTATATATGGACCACGTTTGAGTGCTACCAAAGTGACTATGATAATGCCAGTCTGCTTATTAGGTTTAAATATGGGTTATAAATTGGTGTGGAGGTTTATGATTAGGATTTACAATTGTGCGTTTGGTTTAGGAATTATACTTTGGGTTTTCATCGCTCTCTGGCATCACATATAATGCCGAAATTTCTCTGTCATAAACACCTATGATTCTTCCATAAATTGCATTCTCTCCCCTTCAACTACCAGAGCAAAATTTAATTGGTTCAAGTGATTTTCTGTGGTAAGTTTTGTTTCAGTAAGGTTCTTTTTGAGAAATGGGTGCGGAATTCCACTCAGGGCTGTCGTCATTCATCCCGGCTGACGATAGGCAGGGCTGCAATCGGCTTTGTTTTCGTATTCAGTCTTGCTAAATATTAAATTATTAACTTGAGTTTTAGGTAAGAACAGTACCCAAATAACCCCTCGGAATTATATGAAGTTCGTACCACTGTAATTTATGTTCTGAAGGCAGTTTTATAAGCCATTTTTCGTGTAATTTCTCTTAGTTTTTCTATTTTCTTTTAATACGAGAGAAAGTCTTCCGTTTGACTTGCTGTATAAACATGCTGTATGGTTTGGGCTGAACTTGACTTTTAAGTATTATAAATTTTTGTGTGCCATCTATCATTTTCTACCGTTCTTCATTGTTATTTCATAGGCTTTTGAGAAAACATTCTGCTGTTTTATGGAGAGTGCTGAAGGAATTTAGTAAGGTATATGATGAATCTTATGTTTTCATCATGAATATAGATAGATATTTGAAATCTTGCAAACTGCTAGCAGGTATTGTTATATCCTAGAGAAGATCAAATTACGAGTAACTTTCGAGAACTATTAATGGATTACTATTTTATATATTTTTTATTGTATAACTATTCATTAACTAGACTGTGTACATCCATATTCCTCTTATTATAAGCTTTATTTTGACCTACAGATTACTATTATACGATTTACTGTTCTTAAGTTATTACTAGTTTATTGATTACAGTCTCCCACGTTCACAACCACCTTTAGCTTCATTTTGTACCAATAATATTTCCTATTTTATGGTGCAGCGCGGTCTGTTTAGCTTGTATATAAAGCAAGTATTTATGAACTAGGGGATTCGCATAGCGAGAGCTGTTATTGGTGTTCTGGACTCAGCTGGACTGGCTAAGAGATCAACGGACCAATAAGGACGCTAGGCTGATCAGACCGGTCGAACGTTATTACTTAGTTCAGTACAAGAGTGGATAAGTCGTATTTCGATTGGCGAATAATTTGCGTGATAAAAATCCCCATTTAAAGTCACAACAGTTATTATATTAAATTGTCCACTCTACTGACATCTTTATTCCTATATATCTTATGGTTGAGTGAAACAAAAACGTTAGAATCCGTGCATGCCAATTAAAGTGCCAATGTTCTATACTACCGTACATATGCCACACACTACGCACTGAACAGGTCGAAAGAGATGGCCTGATCAAAAACTTGTGCTATTAAAAGTTCTATTATTCACAACTATATACATCCTTATTTCCTTGGAATTATAACACCCAGTTTTTCATTTCTTTATTTCACGTATTGAGTGTGCAGTTACCTGTTGTTAATTTTTCTTGATACAGAAAGAGGAGGAGAAACTTTTCAAGATATTTTGTGCAGAGCAACCCATATTGTACTAAACGTATACTTAGTAAAGCTATTATATTTGTTATTATTATGGTGACAAAAGTTCTGGGAAGAAATTAGAATGCAGGGCAGAGAAAATAACAATTTTTCAATAGAGCACTGAAGCCATTTTCAGAGTATTCCTTCTATTGCAAATGTATATCTAATCGTATTATAAATCACGTCGTCAGAACATTCATTCACTTTGCGTCTAGTTTAATATCATGCTAAGGAGCTTCAGTAACAATGGAATATTACCAAACCATCACTGCAGACCTTTATTGAGGCTGAACATAGACTTACTTAGAAAAATCACTCTGTGTTCAACGTTGTGGTAAAATTATGAAGGTCGACATAGGTCAGCACTTGAACATTACAATCGAGGCCGCATGACTCAACTATACAGAAATAGTCATTCTCTACATAAGATTCTTTTGTACAAAGTATATTATTTTGCTGGCAGCCTGAATCTATTCTCTAATGGTTCTTACAAACGTTACCAATGAATTCCACAATAACGCGAGTCAGTATAGGGAATTATTATTTTGACAAGATAATATACAATATAATTTTTGTTAGGCAGTCATTCAACACAAAGGATACCATTTCAGTAGTATCGAAAGGTACACTGATACCGATATCGACTTAAACCACATGGGCCTCTATTTTGAGCGACGTGTGTAACCTACCACAACAGCATAGGTATGTTATTACATCAGTGCAATGTGATGACATCAATAAACCATAGCCTTGTTATGGCATGTGATCATAACTGTGCCGAAATAACCTAGGCAACTATTTCAATGACTGGATCCATAAAAACAAATGCATAATAACAAAGACCAAAATGAATTAATCAGAAAATGTTTACGTCGGTTCAGATAATTGGTCAATTCCAATGGCATAGAAAAACCAATATGACGAACTCATGTGTCAGTTAGGTTAAAGTGGAATATAGAAATATGGAATATATAAATAAATAAATAAATTCGAACTCTGGGACGATATTTACGGGATCACAGTTAAGAATATTTTAAAGATAACCCTTTTCTAAGCGACTACTGTAGTTAGCTCAGTGAAATAGGAAAACTGAAGTAGTGTTGGACTAATTCCAAACTTAAGATTCTCCGAATGGAAATAATACAGTATCTTACCGTAGTATGTTACATCTAAAGACTTCATGCCGATATCTTATTAGGACGGTATAACATACCGTTGATGGTTTTCAGATGTTATTAATTTTCATAGAATTGGTAGATGATTTGCCAAAATAATGAAACGCCCGGATTACTTTTTTTAGTTACATTGTGAAACAGATTTTAAGCCAGTAGTTAGTTATAAAAAATCCTAGAAAAACCGAATCGAAAGCGAAATGCTATTGAATTAACAATTGAGTTAGTATTCCGCAGTAACCTGGTTCAGAATGGGTTCGTAAAGATTGAAATATGATGCATTATATTACGCAAATGAATAAATTAAGACACAGCTAATACCGTAGAAAATATAATTGCCTTAACTCACTTCAAGTTTCTAACTTCATACCTTCTGTTTGACCATGGAGCCCATGTACTGGAAATTAGACAGGGATTGACCCAAAAGATAGATATCAGTGGACTGTGTAAGGTAAACGTTTGGCAAAAAGCAATAAAAGAAGTGTTTTTACACTAATAAGATTGTTAATCCCATCTTTTCATTACTTCATTATGCCCTGAAGTTATGAATAACTTTTAATCGTCTGGGGATACTGTTCACAACACGACTGTAGAAAACAGTTGGCTTGGTTGACCCCCGTCAAAAGAACAAACGTCCCATCATTCAATTTGAAAGAACAAGAAATACAGCGCCTTCATATAGCAAGGAAGTAGGAAGCTCTGGAATGGAGTACTTATGTTCTTATATTTATCTTATGTTATCAATTGACTCAGCCGCCTATCTTCAGTTAGCGACAAACAACACCGAAACTTTGGGTGACAGGCTTTGCAAACAATAGTGGAGGATATACAAAGTGGATAAAATTTAAAGATAGAAATGTAAACAAAATTTGTATATATACCACTATTTTCTAAACATCCCTACAAGCTTCCTTTAGTATAGCATATCCAGAGAAAAGAGAACCTTTTAGACGACACAGTAGAGTATGGACAACTTTAGCAAACAAGTTTACCCTCGAAACTTCTGTAGAACATATGCTGAAGCTACATTTTACAAAGGATGCATGAGAGTTTACGAAGAGTTGCAGCACTGCTCGATTAGAAGTATAACTGCATTAGCACATTTGCAGTTGGTCTGGAAGGTGGCAGGAAGTTATTTGGATGGAATAGGTTTTAAGGGCCAAAATATTTCCTCGACAAAATTAGAATACTACTTATGCATATACTCTGTTTGCACCTTTTGTGAGAATTTCCTGTCATTATATGTATTTGTATGTACTACTATTCATGTAAGCTTCAGGACTGTGAATAATTGGTTGTGGTTCTGTGCAGTGGTAATGTACCAGGAGTTTTAGACCATTGGAGACTGTTTTACTTGTAATTCGTCCTCCCGAGTAAAAATTACCAGAGAGTATTAAAACCAAGCTCTTGAAATGGTTTGACTCTGCTTGTCCAAGCTATAGCTACTGTGGTCGATAAGGCGAGTATATTTTGTTCCCAAATAAAATAGAAAACTACGGTACCATGATTACTACATAACAAAAGCCCAAGAATAGAGCGATAATAAACAATCAAAATACAGTATAACATAAGTTCCTATTTCTTAGAATATCTGAAAAGCTTCAGATCTGTGATTTTGGAAGACATAGTTTCAAAAGGATCGTCCTTTTTGATGTTTTTTTATCCAGTCAAGTTAGCTCGAGAAATAAAGCTCTCTAAATTAAAATATGGTCATAGAAGAGCTATGGTTCTGGCACCCAACTGTCCTACTAGATTTCAACAACAGGACTTCTGAAAATGACCACATTCAGATGCCTGATATTGTTAGATGGTCTTAACGAACATAACAGATCCAACAACTAACTCGTTTTTCTGGTGTTACTGACATTGCATGTGTGTGAGAAATCTACTTGGGATTTTAAATTTATATACCTTCCGGTGATTGTAACTTTAATTGTTTTAATCGCTTCAGTTCTCCTGATTGACCAATAAAGAACGGGCACGATTAAAAACACTTTAGCGCCAGGTTACGGTTGGACGTGAAGTCATGTTGATCTTAAGATTCATTCTTTTGTATTTGCCTTTCTGTTTATTGATATGTAAGGCTGATGATGCTGCTACAGCACCTGAAGTCGAAAACAAGAAAGTATGTACGCTTTAATTCTAAATTCCTTAGCCGTCATTCAAGAATCCAAATATCCCCAAAAATGCTTACCTTGCACTGTTCTTTAACTCACCATCAGATATTACTGAGAAGTAAGTAACTTGTTTTCTAACCTTCTCTCCAGACTTGTAGTCTCTCAGGCACGCAAAGATGGTATAGATGACTCAATTGCGAAGTATGATGGTGTTTGGTCTGTTGAAGTGCCATATACCAGTGCGATAGAAAATGATCATGCACTGGTTCTCAAATCCAAGGCAAAACATCATGCTGTTTCGACAAAACTGTTCAGGCCAATAAAGTTTGACACCAATGAGCTTGTTATCCAGTATGATGTCAAGTTCCAAGATGGGATCGATTGTGGTGGCGCCTACATAAAGTTGTTGAGTGCTTCACCAAATTTGGACCTGGTAAGTTCTTAAAGCTTTGTTAACTTCGTTAAGAAACAATTTAACGACAAAACTCCGTATACAATTATGTTCGGTCCCGACAAATGTGGACTAGAGAACAAAGTACTTAAGAAATATGCAATAATTTTATTTCTAGTTCCACTTTATTTTCCGGCACAAAAATCCCAAGACTGGTGTGTATGAGGAAAAGCACGCTAAAAAGGTTGTTCCAGAACTGGAGTCATACTTTTCAGACAAGAAGACACACCTTTACACATTAGGTTAGTTGAATACCCCATCATATACTTGATGTAGTTTTACGTTCGGATAACTCATTTGAGCGGTACATCGACCAGATTAAGGTTCAAAGTGGCAGCCTACTTGAAGATTTTGAGTAAGTCTATAATGCATGATTTTTTGGCATTTCCATATCTTAGTTTACGATGTCCAAATTTTGTCTCCTTATAACCTCCCACATTTCTCAGAGTATACACTTATCTTAGATCCGGAAATATGTGTGCGAAGTCAGGGATTGGGACGAATATCTTACATTTGTAGTATAGTAATTTCATTTCAGTATCACTTTTCTGTTGCTGTTGTTTTCTATTCTTTGATATTAGCTTATTAGGAACCATTTTTTCTGTATGGATTTTATCACGTTTAATACCAACTCGTCTTCCCTTTTTATGTCATCTGGAAATGTGTTGCAATCAAGTCTGATGTATTCTTGTCCCATGTCTTATGCTAGATCTGACCATCAGTAGTTATCTAAAAAGAAGGCAAACTGGTATGGTCTCATAAGACTTGGTATTTAGTTGTATGCAACGCATACACCGGCTTTTATTTTGTACAAGGCTATTTAGGACCTAAAGCAGGGCAAAGAGAATACATCCAACCCATTGCAATTCTGGGCCATGTCACCCGATCTCCAACCACTGATGCCTATCCGTCCTGGAAAAAGAAATGCATTTCAATTATCCCCTCTATGCTTCTCGAAATAGTCAGGTTATATTTCGTTAACATCGAACCGTTATATCCTGTACTCATTTCAAGCAAACAATTCAATTTCATGGTAGTTCGATTCCCTAAATCAGACGAGAGCGTCACTACTTCAACGTAATCCGAAACTGAATTAATAGAACCCACTAATGGCTAAATTTCAAGTTCATTTTGTCTATCCTTGAAATAGCTTAAAAAATTTCAGCATGTTTGAAAACCGTTGGACGGTCGACCATTTTCTTCCCGCACAATCAACTTACTGTATTCTCATAATGAGGAAAGTGACCACTGAAGGACATGTATCAATGCAGCTTTTTAAACAAAACAGCTATCTAATAATCCTTGAAACACGGGTTTCTAGTTCCCGATTACAGATATTGGGAGTACCACTCGTATGTGCCATAAACACTAATGTAAAATTAGCTGAGAAGGATCTGACAGAAATATCGAGATTGTAAATCTTCATTAATTGAAGTGACTGGAATATAAGTTCCATACTCTTCTGTACTCCTTATCTGATCTTATATTGCTGGTTGTCATGATAGTAGATCCGAAGAAGTCTGGGGAGGGTTGACGGAAACCTGATATCAATCTATGCGTTCATTGGTTGCTGTAAGCCATATCATTATGAAAATACTACCAGATAAGAGCAATTGTTATTTTGACCATATCTCAACTCTTCGTCATATGTTAAAACACCATCATACTTATCACAGGCCAGCAATCGTGTTTCTTGACATCAGGGCTACCTTCGATTCGTTGGACAGAAATGTTCTCTGGGATTGTCTATCGAAATAGGGTGTGTCTGAGAAGTTTATTAACATCCTAAAAGCCCTATATACAAACACCTCATGCAGAGTGAGGGCATACAACCACCTTACTCCATTGTTTCATTCAAGCAGTGGGGTTAGACAGGGTTGCCCAATCTCGCCATTCCTCTTCCACTTTGCCATCCATGACATTCTGAAAACAGCTCTGATGGATTTAAGTAATGGCGGTGTGGATCTGTTGCCTGGAGAAAATTTCTCGATCTTGAGTATGCGGATGATATTGTCTTACTGTACGATAATGCCCAAGCAATGCAATCCGCACTTAATAAGTTGGCAATCGGTGTCCGTAGGTACGGTATGAGCTTTGCACCTTCGAAGTGCAAACTACTTCTACAAGACTGGAAGGACCCTGATTCGGATCTACAACGCGTTGGTGAAAGCAGTTTTGTTCTATGCTTGTGAAACCTGGCCTCTCCGTGTTGAGGACGTTGGACGACTTTCTGTGTTCGATCATCGTTGTCTCCGAAGAATTGCTGACATCCAGTGGCAACACTATGTTAGTAATGCAGCGGTTTAGCATCGTGTGTTCGGGTGCAGAGGCGATAATGCAATTGATGTCACCATCTTGAAACACCGACTTCGGTGGCTTGGACATGTTCTACGAATGTCGTCCCAGAGAATTCCACGTCGTGCATTATTTGCCGACTCTGGGACTGGCTGTAAAAAGCAGAGAGGTGGTCAGTATATGACATAGTGTCGTGGTATGAAAGAAAGCTGCAAAGGAATGGCTTCTGTTGGTCCTTCACGACTCCCTGGCTGGGGTCCGAGAGATGGTGCAACACAGTGGCTAGAGACGTTATCAGATATGGCTCAGAATAGAAGCCAGTAGCGATCGTACTGTAACTTTATTTCACTTAATAAAAATTGGACGCAACTTTAACTGGAAGAATTTCTGGTCGTACCTTCGCTAACCGAACTGCCTCTCCCTTTATCATTATTATTATTATTATTATTATTATTATTATTATTATTATTATTTCACTGTCATACGCTAATTTCTGTTCGTTATTGTTCCCCTTTTTCTCGTACACACCTTACACTGTCTCTTCACATACTCATTATTGTGTGGCGCATATGTCCACCTTTGTACCAATGTTTATGTGTTCAAATAAAATAATAAAATAGATATATAAGAACACGTGTAATACTCATGATCAATTTCCCTCCTGTCATTTCCTCTAAATCTTAAAACTGACTAGCTTCTACGAAGTTGGACAGTCAGTCAGTCATTAACAACGTAGAACTTCGTACGTACGTACATCGGTTCGAGTTGCCATACCACATTAGCGCAGAGATGCAGTTGGTGATTTACATTCCATTGTGGTAGAGTTAGTAAAAGTATAAACAGTCATCGGAAAGATTAGGGTTTGAAAATGTCATCTAAGAAGTATAATCCAGTGAATGGATGCATCTGCGCTATTGCAAACGATTTTGAGTCATATCACTCGAAGTCGGAAGTTTATATGTAAAGCATATTCAAATAAACAGAATTAGGTTTCTGACTGTAATAGTTATATTTCATGTCATTTGATTGTGTAAGTGTATTTTCGAGTTCTGCGCAATACAGTGTACTACATTACCAAACTTAGTAGGCCATTAACAGAGCAACTGAAATACATTAGATTTCTCATTTCTAGCTCGAAAAATCTTAGATTATTGGCTGCATTCTTCTATAAGTGTTTGCTTGTCGAAACCATGTAACCGACATTAAAACATTACGAGGACTATCAAATTGTGTATGGTATAATTACCCTCAAGACCGACTAAAGAGTATGCACAGGCAAATTTGTCTTAAAATTTGAATCCCGATAACTGATTTCATTCTGGTTGCTACACATGAACTGAAATGTCAAGTTACTAGTGCATTTGATCCCAAAACTGGACTTTTAGAAATAAATATAGGGCAAATAGCAATATTAAAGCATAAAATCCCAACAAATGTAAACAAAGGGTTCTATTTTGTAATCGCTTTACAGAACAGGATTGCTATTTCTGCATATTTCTTTTATATATTACCACCACTTAATTAAGTACTTCTATGAATTCGGTGTTCATCTTGTGTCAATAAGGTAAGGCAACTTGGATCGAGGCACATATGTGCCTGGTCCTACGTTGTAGCTGACTGACTGATATTTCAAGTCTGTTAGTGCATTGGTAAAAGATGAGTTACTGAAAACACATAGTGTTATTTTTGAGTGTGATGAAATCGTCGTATGTTCACCAATATCAACGTGATACAACGTCCAAAGAAATGAAAACATCATCATTAGAATTACGTTATTATTGTAAATGCTGGTCTTAATAATTCTACAAAACAAACTGGATTGATGTTAGTATCTCATTTTTGGTTCATGAAATTTACATGGTAAATGGGTATTAACACAAGCAGTTTATTACGTATATACTTATCATTTTATTAGTGGACATACGTCATCCCTATAACTGCTTAGAAAGCATGTTATTAGCGTAATTAGTCTCACCAATTTTTTTAGAATCGTTTAAACTGTTTGTTTTCAAATTTATTTCCCGATGGCTTATGACTAACATCCTCGGATAATCATAGCATCGGTTTCCCGTAATATTTTTCCTTACACCAGCCCATTCAACGTAAATAATCTTGTTTTAGTCCTCCAGTTAATCCTCCCAAAGAAATTGATGATCCTGACGATAAAAAACCAAGTGATTGGGATGAAAGAGAAAAGATTGTCGATACAAATGCCAAGAAGCCGGATGACTGGGATGAAGATGCTCCCGCAACTATCGAAGATGAAAGTGCCGTGAAACCATCCGGGTGGCTTGATGATGAACCAGAGATGATTCCAGATCCTGCTGCAGTACCTCCAAAAGACTGGTGAGTTTTTTCCATTCTTATCACAGTCCACAGCTAGATGAACAAATTATTTTCTTAACGCTTAAACAAAGTGACATCTAAAGAAAGCACAACTAGTAGTTCCCAGTTTCTTGATTTAAAGGTTTTATAAATCATTAGTGTAGATGGTTACAACCCTACCGATTGTGCTATACATTATATTACAACTATATGTTCAATGTAAAATGTCACTAGTAGTGAGCCAATATTCACTAACGAAATTGATTCTAAGAGTATTTATGCTATTGTGTGTATAACGAAACCATGTTCACGTTTGTAGTATAGTCCGAAAATTCAAAGCGCTTTGTTTAGTTAATTTAACCGGTTGAGATTACTCTTCCTTAAGTTGATGGGGTATATATTGATGCATTACGTATGAGATCCTAAGATCCTAACTTTGAAATCTAGTAGTTTGATTAATTATGTGTTCCTCCTTATCGAATAAACTAGAAACTTTGAAAAACGCCTGCTGAATTCATCACACTTGTCCGACTCAGTTGATATTCCCTTCATCTATTTCTTATCCTGTAAATTTACTCTGTACAAGTATAGGCTGTTGTAACTTGAACTGATAAACATTCGTGCTAAGTTTTACGTTTTCGATAACACTACTTTTGGATAACTTGACAGCCCTCCATTTTTTGTGTTAATATTAGTTTTATTCCCGAGTCGCATTGATCTCTTGACGTCCAGTAAACAGTGTCAGTGTTGACAGAAAAGTAACTAACCCTTAGTATAGTACTAGTTTGGTTACTGAAAATCACTCTATTAGTCTCCACTTCATTGATGACACTAACCTGTGGGCTTTCTATCACTCATAAAGCACGTTTAAGACTTGTTTCTGTTCCAGGTATTTGGAGATATAATTGTTTCAGATAATTTTAATTAATGAAAAAGTACAGATCTTTACTGAACTTATCGACTCTTGTTCTTTCGACATAGCATCTGTTTTTCTTTGTTTTAGTTGGAAGTATAGTAAGTGGAATGAGTTCAGTACTTTCCTAGATCATGCTTTTTCTAATCTCTTTTTACTGTGTAACTGTTAAGACTAAAACTAAAGCCCACTGTCGATCATTCGTGATATATATATATATATATATATATATATATATATATATATATATATACTTATCGTATTTAATTTATTAAATCTGTTAGTGTGGATGCAAGTAAATTAACCATTTCAGTTGTTTGAAGTTGTATATTTAATTTTTTAGGGATCGTGAAATGGACGGTGAATGGGTTGCACCACAAATAAATAATCCTAAATGCGCTAGTGCACCTGGGTGCGGTAAATGGCAACGACCAATTATACCAAATCCAAAATACAAGGGCAAATGGTCTGCTCCAATGATTCCTAATCCAAATTATAAGGGTATTTGGACACCAAGGAAAATTCCAAACCCTCACTATTTTGAAGAAAAGAATCCATTCAAGAGCTTAGCTGAAGTGGTAGGTGATGCACTTAATTTAAGTTGTACTATATGATGATTGTTGAATATATTTTTTTATGTCATTCGACGTTGTGAAACCTGTTCTTGTTTTAATGATTTGATTTTGCAACAATATTATGGGTCATTCGTTGTATTATTTTTACATCGACCTTATCATCATTACCATGTAAACTCATTTGATATCTAGTGTCGATGAGAACAATGGTTTGTAAAGTAATAGATGATTGTATCGGTCTAGAATTGTTTCTACACAGACTGGCGAACGAATAGGTTGATTTTGCTTATTCTTTTTGAATTGTACTTCTCAGGTTTGAACTTCTATAGCATTATATATTGTTTCCGACCTTGTGTTTCTCATGTTGTCAGTTTTCTCTTAGTGTGCTAATTTAAAGTGTCACAACTTGGGTCGGTACATATTCATGCTATCTCCTACCTTGATAATGACTAGATGGATCCTGAAAACTTCATAACAAAGTCTTATATAAGGTTTCTATACTTCCTACGAACTCTGCAACCCATCTCGTAAAGTATTTTTCTAGTTTGATGTGATAGTACCAGCGTACCATCGAATTATACTAAAATCATTTTCTTCAAATTCCGCTGCTTACTGTAAAAACGATTTCACCTGATTTGACAATGTTATCCATGGTTGGTTTCTAGTTTCCTTTTTCTTATTTTCGTGAGATTTATAACTGCAAATACAAAATCAAATACTCACGAGTGCATAACATCCACTCTTACAACTTCATAATTCTTTTCTCAATGTTAGCTGTCCATATAGTTTGGTTATCAATTGTCACACTAATCAATACATTATTGGTTCGACAACTGTAAAGATGGTTTTGCTTTTGTATAAACCTGTAAATTACCTGTTCATTAGGTGATGTGGAACCTATTTTTTTCATTCTTGATGTGTTAACCTTTCTGTAGTAGTGAAAGTGTTGAAAACCTGATATCTACATAACGTCCATATTTATTATCGAATTTTTGTGTAATAAATATTTTTGTTGCTTAGTTTTACAGTCAGTTTGATATGTCTCTATGAATGATACCATTGTTCTCATCGTTACATTTTATGGTCTTGTTTGTGATTCTGGTGACTATATTGTTCCATATTATCGAGTAGTATATTGCTGGATGTCTTTTTGAAATTGCAGTCTAGCAACATACAGCTTTTACTGGAGTCGGTCATGTGAAATCAACAACTTGTATCTCTCTCATCCCACTTTCCCAGATCTTGTTGGCAATTCGATTCTCACAGTTTTCCTGTGACCACTTTCTTGTTTTCATTTTTTTAGCAACGCTATAGCTTGTAAAGTATTGTTGCTAGGTTGTTTGTTGTATGTACGTTCGTATTTGACTATTTTGCATGTTAAATTAACAAATAGTCTACGTTTATTGTGGTCCAAAATTTATTTATATTCATAATTCAATTACCTTAACTTTATTCCTAGAACGCAATAGGTCTAGAATTATGGTCCATGACTGACGGCATTACTTTTGACAACTTCCTGATTGTTGATTCAAAGCGCGCGGCTGATGAATTTGCTCAAGAAACATGGACAATTAAAAAGGAAGCTGAAAGATTAGCCGATCCGAAAGCAGTAAGTCCTTTGGCTTTGAATATTGGAGTTTCGTTTTCTTGTGTGATATACGTAGCTAGATTTTAGGTAATCTAATCGAATATTTCATAGTATTATTAAGATAAGGTAATACAACTCAGTTATTAAGTATCAGATCTTTTGCTCTTGTCTTTGAACTACACTTAAGTTCTATTTATGCTGTTTAACAATTTGAAGCTGCTTATTTGTTTTCCGTTTTCTGGTTATACCCTTGCATCACAAGTGTACTATCCCAGCTTGTTTATTAACTCATTATATGATAGTGTTCATTAGCCATCTTGTTTCCTGATTGTACTGCTGTGTTGCATTATTAGTAATAATTCAAATGTCTTTTGTCAGTTTGTAGAGATTTTATGCCATTGCTTGGGTTCTTTTTGTTTTTATCAATCGACCATTTGTTTTTTATTTACAGCAAAGTGTTGTGGATGCTATACGAGAAACCTATAATGAGAAACCTTGGCTTATCTTTGTAGTTGGCCTTGTTTGTACATTACCCATTCTTTTATGCTGTATCTACATGTGCCGGTCACCATCCAAACAACATGATATTGGTATGCGCAAGAAGACGGATACATCCACGCCAGACAACTCTCATGTACATGTTAGTGAAAGAAATGCAGAAACCGAAGAATTAGAAGAATCTGGCGAAGAAGATATTGTCCAAGTTTCTAAAGGCTCCGGTGATGAATCAACCGCAAATAAAACAGGAAGCAGCAGAGATAACTCCGGAGAGGAAACTCCTGATGAATCTGGAGAAACCGAGGTATGACATATTTAGTTAATCTTGGTTCTTAAATGGCCCCAGTATAGTGGTTACTTTAAAATTGGTTAGATGTTTATGTGGATTGATTAATAGTCATTCAAGTCATTTTCATGTCTATTTTATTAAATTTATATTATCCATTTCAGAAAGCGGCTGCAAAACAGTCTATTAGAAAACGACGTTCACGAAAGGAATAAATTTACTCCCTTGGATTTCATTCCTGAAACACGTGTTCGTATAGCTTATTTAATCCTAAACCTTACAAGCATGTTTTCTTTGGATTGGTGAGATATAATCGTAATTATCATCTCTCCCGTTATGTTATTTGTTACTGTAGTTTTGTGTCTCTTATGGAGACGGTTTATGTCTGTTTATCTACTTACTGTATCATTCACTCTTCGATCTATGTAGATGTTGAATTGGCATTACATTTTGTTTCCATTTTATAGTTTTAAAAATCTTGTTTCTTATTGTCATTTCGTTTCAACCCAGTGTTTTTTGCTTACGAATATGTTTTACTTCATTTTCATTTGAAGTCGACGTTTGTGTTTTGCGATCAATAATTTTCATTTTGTGAATAAAATCATTCTCTGCATATTCTGTATTTTGATATGCCCAAGCAGGAAAAAAAGCTACTAACCCTTCAGATATATTAATGGTCATTAGTCTGTCTATGTGATTTAACAAACTCTTTTCCAATTTTTATTAAAAGTACACCATTCGGTGTATTGAGATGCTCTAGTTCACGTATTCTAAGTAAAATGATCAAAAATCATACAAGCATCTTGACTCTATAATATTTAATTGGATTTCAGTATTCTCAATCTTAACCTAAGTGTTCAGAACACAAACTATTTTGTTGCAAAGTGTCGCGAATAGTATGAAGTGATTTTTTACTGGTATTTTTAGTGGGGAATATTCTGTTTTGTCTCATTATTCCTAAAACGAATAAAGGAAATAACATCTGGTTACGCTAGCATTTTTGATCCACTAACTACACCGTGTAAGAGCCCAAAATCACTCACAATGATTTACCTTTTATCCCTTTAAACATAGATTTCGTGGACCATGCTGTTAAAACAATTCCATTTAGTAGTGGTCACAAGGTCGATTCTGTGGTTTAACGATGTGTATTGTGATTCAGAGTAGACCTTGTCAACTACTTATTCCTGTTTATTGGTTTCATCGAAATTCGTCTTATATATACATTTGAGACAGTCTACTCGCTACGTTTTTGTTAGGTAGTTAAAAGGATGTTAATCGACAGGTAACAAATCGTTTGAATAGCGAGATCAAAATGCAATAAAAGTGACTAGTATGATCTTATTAGCTACTTTGGGTTCAACTAAGACTGTCAAATCGATTTCGAAGCCTGATTCCTTTGAAAACCCGCTTTAGATGCTCTTGGTACCATCTCATTTCCTCTCAATCACATATTTTACCTTCCCTAGGATGATATTTTCAGTAGTTTCTCTGTAACACCTGCCGACTAATCATTCGTTTCATAAATTTATTAGCCTCACCTGTTCAAAGAACTTGGTATTTTATTTGCTCCTGATCACGGTAATTTCACAACAGATATCTCAGCCTTTAGTTTTGTTTGGTGTAATTCCCTAGTAATTTTCTCACGAATCTTAATCGAATTATCACAACTTTTAGTGTCACCAGATCGGTTAAATTCTTGCGAGTTTGGGTAAACGACCCAATTTTGTCACGTGAAACAGTGTCGACATTATTTTTCTATAATAATGTATTTGACTGCATGTACTAAGGCCACTGCTTCGGGTTTAAATTAACTATATTGTCATAAATTGATCCTATTCTGGTGTTCATACCTACACCGTTTGTTATTATTCTCATCCACGGGATTTGTGTACACAGCACATTTTATGAAATCAATTCGTATCTAATACATAGTTGGTCTATTTATTCTGAGCACTCAAATTACCCTTCACCTCGAGTTTGGTTGAGTTAATCTCAATTGGGTACCAGTATATTTGATGAATTACTAAACTGAGTGATTGTCTAATGAGTTGATCATTGATTTTAACGATCAGGGCTTAAATAAGTTAATCAGTTTACGAAAAGCTTACTTTATTCCGTTACTTTAAAACCTGAAGGTAATTCATTGTATAAAATATGCGTCCTGAAATCAACAGACTGACACTCACTAAGTCGCTCACCATAGAGTGGAAGGTTGAGTGAGTCATCTTTTCAACCGGGTAAATGCAAAGAAGCACCGACGAGTTTTCAGAAACTATCTATTGCATTCTTAGTGTAAATTGTAAAGAAGTATTTCATGTCCTTTATCATTTGTGGTGCACATCACCTGACTTGAGTCTTCAGCGAAATAATTGAGAATCAACAACTGAGTCGTTTTTGTTTACGCGACGACGCCTCACCAGTACTTTACTAGTCAGCAAATATGTTATATTTCACCCTTATGCTTAACATAAATGGCTGGTAATTTTGCGTCCAATCAACTTAGTGATAAATCTTGATTATATCAGAAGTAATGAATTTTTGAATAATCATGATACTATATTATAGGTTGATTGCAATATCGATCCAAAATGAAAGTTAAGAAAAATGGTACACTGAATGAACATATATGTTTTTTTTATCTAATAATATCCAAGAAACACATCAGTAATCATTCTAAACAGATTCTGATTATCTGTGATTTAAAACTTAGGACATAAACGAAACTATAATATATTAAACTAAATGGATGGAGTAACTAGGTTAAGAATTGACTTCTCTCCTAGAACTGCGAAATCTAAGAATATGTAAGTTATTGCGACAGTTTTCGACAACTTGAAAAAAATTAGTGACTTGTGGGTCTCATAAAAAGATAGATCAACTATTAGTAATGGTCCTGAAAGAAGGTATAACTGGAATCCTATGTAGTTGTCACTTTCCTTGGTGTTTCATAAATCCCAAGTCATTGAGAAGTGTGTTGCAACTTTTGAATAAAATTAAGAACATTACATGGACTTAGTTGCTTCGTGTCTGTTACGTCCAAATGGGCTTTCTGTCTAAATAAGTCAGCAGATAGGATTGGTGTACTTATTCGTGTTGTTTGGGTGATACTTCCGATTCTAGATTCTCTGGGTACTTGCAAACCACTGCCTTGTCGATCCCAACAGAAGGGTGAACATTCTTTTTCGTATCGGAATGCTGATTCTTTTCTTTCGGGTGCTGAATGGAGAATGGTATTTTGACTTTTTTTAAAGTCTGACTGTATCCTACATGGAAACATAGATTTCATATTTTGAGAATCGGATAATCCAGCAGGCACGTCATTTATTATTCTCGGTAGATTCTTTTGGTTACAAGTGTGACTTTGAATGCCATTATTAATATTTATTCCAGAATTTTCAATTAGGTCGTCCGAGGAGTGGTTAGATGATTTACTAGATTGGTCTGTTAACTCATCTTTGAAGTCATTCCTCAATGAAAACACATTCTTCATTGCTATGTTTAGTGCCAATATATGCTTGTGTAACTCAATACTGTCATTCAAATAAATAATGCAAAAAAGGTCATTAAAATACTCATTTTTCATCATTATAAATAAACTAATTCTAATGAAGTCCAACCTTAAATTTCACTCGAAATGATTGTCTTATTGCTATTACCTAATTATGCTGATAAACTATTGACTTAAAATTCAACTCAGTATTTCTTTTCTCATAGAAATGAATGTTCTCTTGACATTTCTCATGTCAGAGCAACAACTTTTGGTGGCATTAACTCAGTGCAGCAGTACGGTGCCTTGATACTTTGCATGAAACCAAATATACTGAGAATAGTTAACATTGTGCCTAATTTTTTTCATGATTAAGAAATTAACAGTAGTTAATTTCTCCTACTAACCAAATTTAAATATGTAAGAAATGTAATAAAGTGAATAACGTGACAAAAAATATGGGTTTCACAGTTATCCGTAAATTCGCACATAACAAAAATGTGAAGACTCAATTTTCGAAGTTGGTAAGTAGTTGCTTTCCACGTCTTCAAAGTTCTGACCAACATTCTTGTTTATCCCAGTGAAATAAAGGTTACTTAGAAATACGAATGATGTTTACTGAATAACTTTTACTTTTCATTCAAAGTTAATCAAAACAAGTTCTGCTAATGTGGGCAAGCGCCTTCATAATCCTATACCTTAGTGTGGCATGTTACCGTTTTGGTACACACGTCTCGGTTAATTGCAGCTTGTAGATTGTACCCAATTATCTGCACACCATCAGAATATTTTTCTTTCCTTTATTTATCATCTGTGAATTTTTCTGTTCATATCACAGTATAATGAAACGAATAGATTTCGCACAATTTCACAAAAAGTTTAAAGTTTGCTATGCCTTAGGAATATAAATAAATCTGAGTGAAACCATAAATTCCTCACCTGTTACTAATTTGTGAATGAGCAGACTGTACTGCACTCAGAGTTCCTGTGATTACCACTCGGCGGATATTAATACCTTCTTCACCACTAGAAATTTTGATTCTGGCCTGCGAAGCCTACAGAATATAATTAACAAAAGGGATGGATTTTCAATTTAGAGGTGTAGTGGGATCATGAAAACGTTGATACCAGAATCGTTTACAACTGGCTCCTTAGTTTTTACATTAATCTATTTTAGGTTTTGAAAATAAATGTTCTGGCTGTTTTAGTTTGACTTAACAGAGTGTAAGCTACTGTTTTAAAAGTTGCTCTATACGTCACATCTACTAAATGTCCAGCTGACTGAGATCAGAATGGCTTATCATTCGATTGCATGCTATAAAGTGTCTATATTTTTTCTGTTAATTAATATAACCTTATTTATCAAAGTCCCATGGATTATATACACATAATCCGAGTATGCTGTTTTTAGTAGCCTGGTATCAGTAAATTTAGACTCTATATTAACAATATCGTTGGGGTATCATGAATTTAGCTTTTTGGATAAAATAATATTTAGCTTGTAAATAAACGGATTCTTTCGTTTATGTCTCCATAAAACGATTACTATCTTTTATTACTGTGCTCACTACATTAAAAACCCATTTGCAATACAGATCAGCATACCTATAATAAAACAATACTACTAAATAGTACGCAGCACATGGTAATTATGAGTGTGGAGTTGCGCTCACTAGTGAGTAGCTTCGTGAGGTTATTCTCGGAGTTCTAGTGAGAAACCGTGACCAGTGGAGCTAAAACGTATCAGGTGGAGATAGATATCTACCTCAGACAACGGAAGATGGTCGCACATTTTCGTGGATTTGTTGAAGTTAGACATTAACACCGTTGGATGCCAGCCCAGTGATCTAGTGGTTAAGAGTTTGCGAGCGTGATTGAAGGTCATGATTTCGAATCCCGCATGACGGATTGTGGATGCGCACTTTTCAGGAGTCCCATACTAGGACTAAACGGTCGTCCCGTTGGATGCCGGCTCAGTGGTCTAATGGTTAAGTGCTCGCGCGCGAAGCCAGTAGGTCCTGGGTTCGAGCACGGCGTGGTGCGGGATCGTGGATGCGCACTGCTGAGGAGTCCCATACTAGGACGAAACGGCCGTCCAGTGCTTCCAGGTTTTCAATGGTGG